TATCTATATATATATACACACACACACACATATCTATATATATATACACACACACACATATCTATATATATACACACAGACATATATATATATATATATATATATATATATATATATATATATATATATATATGTGTGTGTAGAAAGCGCAAATAACCACATAATTTTTCAAATAATCTCACAGTTTAAGAAGCTTAAGATAATGGTATCTTTAAAATCGATGTTCAAATAACACCCAACCTGGACATATTTTGTTGAATGGCAGTCTCTGAAGGCGTCTGAGCAGGTGAACAAACTGCATTTGGCCTCCGTGCTTCCTGGAGTGTGTTCTGCCTTCTGTCACTATCTGACCTTGGCTGTGTAGTGCTCTGTCCCTGAGCATCATTTACAACATTCAACATAATTAGATCACCCTTTCATGCAATTACTCTGGTCAAATAAGACATGATATTCAATAAACATGTTCAATAACACAACACAATGAATGAAAGGGATAACCATACCATTTGGCACTGCTGTGCTGTTCAAAGCAGCTCTCAGCATGGAAACCAATTTGATGGCTGCATTTTGTAATTGATCCTACAAGACAAAAGACAAAAAAAAATTTTTGTAATTAAGACATCAAAAAATCCTGAGCTGTGTCGCCAATATGTTTTACACTGGAGTTCACCTCTTTTTGTTCCGTCATTCTGCCACATCAAAATAACAATGCAGGCTACTGGAAACACACACATGAACATAAAGTGATACCAATAGTGTGTTTCTATTAGGGCCCGATCAATATATCGGCCGATATCGGGGTCATTAACAGTATTGGCTATCGGCCAAAAAGACGACCAATATGGCCGATATTGCGGTACCTATCCAGCAGATGGCGCCAGCTTTATGAACTCATGTTGTGTGGCTCAACTCCTTTGAACTTTGAACACAAATTATTGTTTTGGAACTTTTATTTTTATTTATGTTTCTTATGTGCAATTATTTCTTGTCCAGGGTGAATAAGTTCACCAAGTTAACTTCCAGAGTGTTACTTTGTTACAAAGCACACGTATTACGTTTTATTTATTGCTGCATTTTTATTATTTTAATATTCTTATAGGGTTTTATGTCCCTAAACTTGTGTGTGTTGTTAGATTCCCCAGAGTTAGCCAAGTCAGAGAAAACATTTTGTAACCAGTTGTTTTAGCATAAAGCAATGGAAGGGAAGGCTTGCATTCACCTACATAAAAAAAAACACTACAATGTATGTGAATTCACTTACATTGTTTTATGCTAAACTAAGAAAACCAACTGCTGTCAGATCATATTGGGCTGGTTATAAAATGCTTTTTCTGACTTGTCTAACTCTGGGGAATCTTAACAAGACACAATTTTACTGAGTGGTGGAATATTCCTTTAAGTTAAAATGTATTTGAGGAAACCACAGTTTACAAGAAAAAACGTGAATGTTAGATTTATGATGTGACTGCGTTTGTGTTTTCTGTTGTTTTTGAGATCTGCTAAAAAAAATCTTATTCACATTACTTGGAAACCCTGGTGAGTTATTGAGACAGTTATTTGGTGTGTAATAATTTTGCATCAAAAAGGCAGAGAATGAAGGGTTTAAGCTTAAGAAAATTTGTATTTCTTTTTTTTTGTGAGGGAGATTTATCAGCCATTATATCGGCTATCGGCCTTTGTTAAAAGTTTTATATTGGTAACGGTCCCAAAAAAAGCATATCGGTCGGGCCCTAGTTTGGATTAAATTTTACATTCAATGATTGACATGACCCAGATTTCAAAAGTTCAACCAAAGATAGCTAACACAGGTTTGTGGTGGCACTAACTTCAAACTTACTCCTTGGCAGAAAAAGCTAGTAACATGTTGTGCATGTTACTTATATAAAAAGCAGGACATGTGCAGCCGTTACTTTCCATGCCAAAAAGGTGAATAGTTATTAAGGGCCTGCTGCTTAAAATAAAATGTACTTTACAAATATCTGTAGTACGCTCTGCAAAGTTAGCTGAATGTGGCACAAGCGACTAGCTGAAACATGCTAAAGTTAGCATAAATATCTTAACTATATCTTTAGAAAGGGTTGTAGCGCCAGAAAATTCAACAGATTTGTCTTTGCAAACTTACCAATTTTCTTCATAAAAACATTGTGTCTAACAAAAAACACATTAGTTAACAAAGGTCTGCAAACTCAGTTTATTTTCGGTTACAACTAATGCGCAAAACCGTAAAGCTCACAACCCACAATGTTTAAAGAAATCCGCCAATAAAGTTATAATAATATGTAATAAATATCAACTGTATCACTGAAGAAGGCTATTTATGAGCATTTCTTGTGTGAATATTTTCAGTAGCCGCAGCCATCACAGGAACTCTGCTTCAGTTGGATCAAAGACGTTTTCTACATGTAAACAAGTACTGTGGGAAAATGTGGTAAAGATCTGTCTGAAAGTGACCAATCACGTTGGGGAAGGTGGCTCCTTGGAACCCGCCCCCCAAACTGTCAAAAGTGAAACTTGTATGATAGAGCGGAATTTCTACTCGAGAGCCGAGCAGGCTGCGAGAGCATGTATTAACAGTTCCACGTGCGTAGTACACACACTTATGTGCGACAGGAACAATTGTCTGTGCTTGACTGGATACAATCTGCTCTTCGGGTCTTTCTAAACACGCGCAAGGTGCTTTTTCGTGCTCGCGGATAGTTTAAAACACGCGCAGAGGACTTTTTTATCACTAGTGGATGGGAACTTATCCTCTCACGGACGTTTAATGATCCTCTTGTGATTGTGTGTGCTCTCGCGAGACCTTATTGGCATAAAATTGACTCCATAGTGGCTGACCAAGTGTTTGTTTTTGATGCGCTGGGAGTGAGAATGTGTTGTTTTAACACCTTTAACTAACAGCTGATATGTCTCCACAGCCTTCATTAGAATAGAATAGAATAGAATGCCTTTATTGTCACTACACAAATGTAAAGTGAGATACAGAGCATCTCCTACTCAGTGTAAAAAAAACATGCTGGGGGGGGGGGGGGGGGGGGTACAGTTCTGCAGCGCTATATACATATGGACAGTATTAGTGTTATGTATATACAATTATTGCACATAGAATTGGTATAAATACTGGTGGTCAATAGAGGAAGTGGGAAGTGGGGGGCTGTGTTATCGGTGCATGTGTGAGTTCAGGGTGGTTATCACTTTGGGGAAGAAACGGTTTTTGAGTCTGTGGGCTTTTGTATTAATGCACCTGTAGCACTTCCCTGAGGGAAGCAGCCTGAACATGTTGAAGCCAGGGTGCGAGCTATCCTTGATGATGTTTGCTGCCCTACTGAGGCAGCGGGAGGACTAAATGTCCATCATGGAGGGGAGAGGACAGCCGATGATCTTCTGTGCTGTCTTTACCACACTCTGAAGCCTCACTCTATCCACCTTGGTGCAGCTGCCGTACCATACCTTGATGCAGTAGGTTAGCAGGCTCTCAATGGACGAGCGGTAGAAGGTCAGCAGCAGGTTGGAGTTCAACTTGTACTTCCTGAGGACTCTCAGGAAGTGCAGCCGCTGTTGGGCCTTCTTGATGACCGCTGAGATGTTTCCCGCCCAGGAGATGTCAGCAGAGATGAGGACACCAAGGAACCGGAAAGTGTGGACCCTCTCCACACACTCCCCATTGATGTAGAGGGGGGCCAAGTCGGTGCTGTGTCTCCTGAAGTAGACAATAAGCTCTTTGGTTTTCTTGGTGTTCAGGGACAGGTTGTTTTCTGAACACCATGCTGCCAACTTCAGGACTTCCTCTCTGTACTCTGCCTCGTCTCCCTTCGAAATGAGTCTGACTACCGTGGTGTCATCAGCAAACTTGATGATGAGTGTTATTGTGGGTCGGACTGCAGTCGTGGGTGTACAGAGAATACAGGAGGGGGCTCAGCACACAGCCCTGTGGGGAGCCGGTGCTCAGTGTGCGAGTGGAGGAGAGATGAGGGCCGAGTCTCACAGTCTGGGGCCGGTTTGTGAGGAAATCCTTTATCCAGGCACATGTAAGAGAAGGGAGGCCAAGAGAGACCAGTTTGTTGATGAGGATGTCCGGGATGATTGTATTAAAGGCTGAGCTGTAGTCCACAAAGAGCATTCGGACATAGCTCTGGCGCTGCTCTAGGTGACTCAGCACAGCGTGGAGGGCTGTGGCGATGGCGTCTTCTGTGAATCTGTTTGCACGGTATGCAAACTGGTGGGGGTCGAATTCTGGGGGGAAGTGATCCTTAATGTGCTGAAGGACTAGTCTCTCATTAGTGTCTAAAGGAGTGATAAATTACTAAATTAAAAAAATCAGCTGTGTTCACGATGCATGAAATGTGCTGGGAGCAGAAACCAGCGCTGGCATGCCAGCTCTACTTCCCTAAGTCCAACTGGGATCGGACTGGCACTCTGAAGTTGCAAGTGTGGTATCCTGGCCACAGGGGGTGGTTGGGGCTGAGTGATATTTAATTATTACCGTAAAGGGTCATTTTAGTACATACTGGCTCAAGAAAAGTATTTAAAAATATGAAAGAGTTGCAAAGTATGCCTTTAATTCCCTCTATGTTTGTCCTTTAGGCTTTTGGTCTGAGCCATTTAGATTTCAGCTACAGCAGTCTTCTGCTCCCTAAAAATGTGATTAAATGGATTTGACGGTGAGTTGTGTGACCCCTATATTATCACTCATTTATTAGCGAGTCAGAATTAATCCCTAAAATAATTTGTGAAGAGAAAAATAAATTAGTTAGACTCACTGTGCTTGAAGGTTATGAGGAGTTTAAATGGTGTTCTTGAATAAAAAACGCAACTGATTAAGAAGCTGGTTACTCATCCGTAGAGCAAACTGGCTCAGAGTCAAATGAACAGGAAATACAAAAAGGACACAATATGATGAGAGGAAGAAAATGAGGCTAAATAAAAATCAAATGCTTTGTGAGAACCAACGATTTTAGGAAAATACGAGTAAGTAAAAATTGATTGAATTTTTGACAACTTCCTTTTTTTATATTTCCTTTAATTTTAATAGCATCAATTTTCCTATTCATTTCCTTGTTTCATTACAGATTTATAATATTCCAAAGAAACAGTAAAACATTCTGACGTAACCTACACAAAAATTATTAAAAATGTACATTTCTTATATAAGCCGTGTGCATTGTGAACGTACACAAACTTGATAAAAGCTCCCATAAGGCATACTGGTGTGCCGAGGCATCCTCCATACATTTTATGTACAAGTGAGAAATCATCTCTGTGTGCAAAATTTTATTAGTGACAAATCATGTGCGTGTGTGCTATAGTACACTAGCTTTTTAATCTAAAATGATTAAAAATATTTTGTGAAAAAGAAGGTTTTCAGTGTGTTTTAGCACTTGTTTGTGTGCATGTTCACTTTAAAGAAAGAGGTGGGTAGTATACTGGTATGTCATGGTCACACACTTTGAATCCAGAGGTGGTTTTGACTAAGAGGTTGTTCCAAACTTCTTCAGGAAACTTTTCCTTGTTTGGGTTTTTTTCACAGTCCAGCAGAGTGAATTCAGAGTCGAAACAGATCTCAATCTGTCCCAAATTCTGGACTTGAGTATTCTGTCAACAAAAAAAAAAAAAGACAAGAATTAAACTTCAAATTGTTTCAATGAAACACAAAACATCCTTTGGAAAGTAAAATGAGATTTTATTCACTAAAAGAAGTAGGGAGGCATCGATGTGAAATTTTGGCCGATACTAATATCCGAAATTACTATCGCTGTTATGGCTGATAACCGACACTTGCCGATAACAATTATATATAATAATTTATTTGTTTATAAGGGATGGGACTTTAACGTGTTAATTATGATTAATATTTTTTTTTAAATGATGTGTTAAAAAATTCATGCATTTCATCACAGCTTGCAATTCAAGTAAGGTGGAACCTTTGTCATTGCATGATTTCCTCATAAACCAAATACCACTGATGCACACAACAGTGCACAGTGCTCTGTTAAAGCCTACTAAAACAGAATCTAAATGGAAAGAAATTGCCTTGCTTGGACTGATGCAGTATTTGGAAAACACGTCAGCCTCTTCTCTTAACTTTTAAAAAAATAAAACACTTCCTGACATCTATGGAGTCTGTGTCGCTGACATGTTTCAGAGATCGTCTCTGATCTCTGCTGCTGCTCGGTGGCACCGGAAACTTTACAAAAATCGAGGTAAGCTATATTTTTAACATGTATGTAACATTCGTTCAGCGCTAAAAGCACCCGACCGAATGGTGCTTTGCTCTTAGCAGTAGTTTATGAAAGTAGTCAAACAAAGGAGAGGCACCTGGCTGCAGCTGGAAAGATGCTCGGTGTTTTCACTGCTAATATTTGATGCTCTGCCTCATTATTTTTAATTTAAACAATTCCTTTGAGGGCACATTTTCCTGAATGATTAAAATGTGAATAATTAAGCTTAATTAATTACAAGGCCTGAATACCATCACGGTGACAATAAACAATTACACATCATCACCCCCGCATCATCATCACCCTCTGACACAGTTACACAAACAGGATCAACATGGAAAAAAAATATTGGTTGTTAATATCGACCCAGTTTTACTTATCAGACCGACACCAATATGTTAAAAAAAAAAAAAGACCAACATCGCCCGATGCAGATATTGATACCCATTTATCATGCATCCCTAAAAAGAGGAGATGAAATCGTACCTTTGAGGAATGGGCACACTGGATCTTCGGTGTGACGCCGTAGAAACTCTGTATCGCTCCTTCGATTTGTGAGAACTGACAAGAAACACAAATAAGAGTTTTTTTAGAAGAGGAAACTTTCAGTCTAACTTTGAAACTCAGTCTTTAATAAAAAAATTAAAAAATAAACGTACTTTGTAGTAGTCGGAGGGGATGATGTTGAACTTGTTCAGGGCGCTGCAGTAAAAAAAAGCAGTTTAAACCTCGTTGCTGAGTCATAAATCCCACACCGTGTGAAAAAAGTGAGTGTTTGCCCAAATGGAGCTCTACCTGCTCAAATCCAGTTTATGATATAACTCCAGAGCCTTACTGAAATATTTATGCTGACTGTTGAGTGACTCTGCCTCGGCTGCACAAGTGCCATGTTTCTGCCACTCGTACTTCCTGTTAAAAAAAAAAAAAAAAAACACCACAGGGAAAAAGCAATACAACTAAATAGTTCTAAATCTGTCAAAACATCAATAACTGTGAGCTTATTCTGAGACGAAGTGATTTTGAAGATTTATTATTAGCACCTAAAATCTACATGTGATCACACTCCTCTTTAAAATAATCTGAGAAATTCAGTTAATCCTAGCAGATTACATCTCACAAATAATTAAAACACGGATTGTAAAGATGAATTAATAACAGGAAAGCTGAGATGTAACACTGCAGTCGTAACATACTAATAGAATAATAGCATAGAACAGTTTGTGAAGCTAGATTATGCTTTAATCTCCAATAAACGAGTGAAAAAAAGAATGAATTAAGCTCGACAGATCAGACATACCAGAAGCTAGAGGATGAAGGCTTGATCAAGTCAGGCCAACTCTTCTCCATATCTGGTAGCAGGTCCTGGAAACACAAAACAAACGGATTTGTTTTACAATTTAGGAGTTGCTGCATTGTCTTATTTGTGTTTAAAATGATAAATAAGTTCATGTTAGCATGCAAGTGGGTTTGTATGTTTAACAGGGACCTACCTCTATTTGGGAGGAGTTGAAATGCCAGGATGAATTACATTCATTTCCATTATCTGGCCTGAAACACAACACACAAGGATATACTCGTATTTACTGCCCAGCCAAAACAAAAAGTCGTCACCTGATGGTAGAGTCTGACCGCTGCACAAAGCCTTCTCCAGCGCATCTCAAAGATTCTCAACGGGGTTAAGGTCTGGACTCTGTGGTGGCCAACCCATGTGTGAAAATGATGTCTCATGCTACCTGAACCACTCTTTCACAGTTTGAGCCTGATGAATCCTGGCATTGTCATCTTGGAATATGCCCGTCCTCAGGAAAGAATGACCTGGTCATTCAGTATATTCAGGTAGTCAGCAGACCTGCGGCCGTATGTTTTTGGACACCCGAGTGAAGAGAGGGGCGGAGCTGTCAACTGATCACCACCTGGTGGTGAGTTGGATCAGATGGCAAGGGAACATGCCGCGTAGACCTGGCAGACCCAAACGCATAGTGAGGGTCTGCTGGGAACGCCTGGCAGAAGAACCTGTCAAGACGGTCTTCAACTCCCACCTCCGGCAGAGCTTTGACCACGTCCCGAGAGCAGTGGGGGACATCGAGTCCGAGTGGGCCTTGTTCCACTCTGCGATTGTCGAGGCGGCTGTTGCTAGCTGTGGTCGTAAGGTGGCCGGTGCCAGTCGTGGTGGCAACCCCCGTACCCGCTGGTGGACACCAGAGGTTCGGGGAGCCGTCAGGCTGAAGAAGGAGGCCTACAGGGCGTGGCTGGTCTGTGGGTCTCCGGAGGCAGCAGACAGGTACCGGATAGCCAAGCGGGGTGCAGCAGTGGCAGTTGCCGAGGCAAAATCTCGGGCGTGGGAGGAGTTTGGTGAGGCCATGGAGAAAGACTATCGATCGGCTCCAAAGAGGTTCTGGCAAACTGTCCGGCGCCTCAGGAGAGGAAGGCAGCAACTCGCTCACACTGTTTACAGTGGGGATGGGGAGCTGCTGACGTCAACTGAGGCTATAGTCGGACGGTGGAAGGAATACTTTGAGGAGCTCCTCAATCCCACCAATGCGCATTCCGAGGAGGAACCAGAGCTGGGAGGCCTGGGGATGGACTGTCCGATCTCGGGGGCAGAAGTTGCTGAGGTAGTCAAACAACTACACAGCGGCGGAGCCCCGGGGGCGGATGAGGTTCGTCCTGGGTATCTCAAGGCTATGGATGTTGTAGGGCTGTCATGGTTGACACGTCTCTACAACATTGCGTGGTCATCGGGGGCAGTTCCTAGGGAGTGGCAGACCGGGGTGGTGGTCCCCATCTTTAAGAAGGGTGACCTGAGGGTGTGTTCCAACTATAGGGGGATCACACTCCTCAGCCTCCCTGGAAAGGTCTACCCCAAGGTACTGGAGAGGAGGGTCCGATCGAAAGTTGAATCTCAGATAGAGGAGGAGCAATGTGGTTTTCGTCCTGGCCGTGGAACTGTGGACCAGCTCTATACCCTTGCAAGGGTGATGGAGGGGGCATGGGAGTTTGCCCAACCAATCCACATGTGCTTTGTGGATTTGGAGAAGGCTTATGACCGTGTCCCCAGGGGCACCCTGTGGGGGACGCTCCAGGAGTATGGAGTGGGTGGCTTTCTGTTAAGAGCCATTCAGTCCCTTTACCAGAGGAGCATGAGTTTGGTCCGCATAGCCGGTAGTAAGTCGGACCTGTTCCCAGTGAGGGTTGGACTCCGCCAGGGCTGCCCTTTGTCACCGGTTCTGTTCATCACTTTTATGGACAGAATTTCTAGACGCAGCCGTGGTGTGGAGTGTGTCGAGTTTGGTGGCAGGAGAATCTCAACTCTGCTTTTTGCGGATGATGTGGTCCTCCTAGCTTCATCCAGCTCTGACCTTCAGCTCTTGCTGGGTAGGTTCGCGGCCGAATGTGAAGCGGCTGGGATGAGGATCAGCACCTCCAAATCTGAGACCATGGTTCTCGACCGGAAAAGGGTGGCTTGCCACCTCCGGGTCGGGGGAGAGGTCCTACCTCAAGTGGAGGAGTTTAAGTATCTCGGGGTCTTGTTCACGAGTGAGGGTAGGAGGGATCGGGAGATCGACAGGCGGATTGGTTCGGCGTCTGCAGTGATGCGGACACTGAGCCGATCTGTCGTGGGGAAGAGGGAGCTGAGCCAGAAAGCCAGGCTCTCGATTTACCGGTCGATCTACGTCCCAATCCTCACCTATGGTCATGAGCTTTGGGTAATGACCGAAAGAACGAGATCGCGGATACAAGCGGCCGAAATGAGTTTCCTCCGTAGGGTGGCCGGGCTCAGCCTTAGAGATAGGGTGAGGAGCTCGGACATTCGGGAGGGACTCGGAGTAGAACCGCTGCTCCTCCGGATCGAAAGGAGCCAGTTGAGGTGGTTTGGGCATCTGGTCAGGATGCCTCCTGGACGCCTCCCCGGGGGAGGTGTTTCGGGCATGTCCTGCCGGCAGAAGGCCCCCGGGTCGACCCAGGACACGTTGGAGAGGTTACATCTCCAATCTGGTCCAGGAACGCCTTGGGGTCCTGCCGGAGGAGCTGGTGGACAAGGCTGGGGAGAGGACGGCCTGGAGCTCCCTAATTGGTATGCTGCCCCCGCGACCCGGACCCGGATAAGCGGAGGAAGACGAAGACGAAGACAGCAGACCTTCTTGGAGCACATCCTGTTGCTGAACCTAGACCTGACCACCTGCAGCAACCCCAGATCATAACACTGCCCCCACAGTCTTCTTGTACAGTAGGCACTAGGCATGATGGGTGCATCACTTCATCTGCCTCTCTTCTTACCCTGACGCACAATCACTCTCGAACAGAGTCCATCTGGACTCATCAGACCAGTTTTTAATAACGCATAAAGAAATGAGAAGCAACACATTGTACCAGTTGGGGTTAAATAACTTGTTGCCAGCTGAAAAATAATCACCCATGCACTAATTATCCAATAGGAGGCCCGCACCTATTTGTTTAGTTAAATCCAGGTGGCGACTTTTTTTGGGCCGGGCGGTGTATAAACAAAAGTCATTTTAAATAATGCAACACTCAAGAGATGCTGTCATAGGTTTTATCCTTTATTCTACAGAGTCACCATTTTATTTGTTTAACACAGGTTTTGTGCACCCATACAGTCAAATAAAAAAAGCACAGATTACATAATGGGGATTCCTTTTTATTTTGTATTGCTCAAAGCATTAGTAAAATTAGTAAAAATTGGAATATAAAATGTTAAAAATGTGTTGACCTATATCCGTCATTCTAGAAATGAAACTGGGGGCCACCCAAAATTCTTCTGAGGGTCACAAATTGCTAGCCTGGCCAGCCATGCTAATGCTTCCTTATGGGAAGAAAAGGGCCTGGTAATGCGCTCATTCAAATAACGCCACCCCCTGAGAAGTCTAACCAAGCCCATCAGCGCTGAGCAGCATATGTCACACACCGCAACGCACGGTTTCTCATAAACAACGGCTCACTGTGGCTCTTTCCTCTGGTCTAAATGACTTGGACATGTCTTTAAAACCACAACAAGTAGAAGCGCTAAAAGCATTTCTTCTAAAGAAAGATGTTTGCACCGTTGCCAGACGCCATCTTGGACTACAGCTAAAAAAAACAACAATGTAGCGCGTACAGTCGTCATTTCTGCCCCTTTTCTGATTGGTTATTTCTGAGCTGGCTAGTCCCGCCCCTCATGGTGCTCTCTGCCTCTGAGTGTCCAGACTTGTCGTCAGTGTAGAACAGACAGAGGACGAGTCAGGCCAGGCTAACAAATGGCCCCTGGGCCACCAGAATTAAATCCTTATTTCAAGCTTACCAGAGTCCATGCAGTGTCCAGTAGCTAATTTTGGCATGGCAGTGCTCCATCTGAAATGTGACAAAAAAATATACAAACCATCAAACACATCATTATGTATTTTGTTTTCACTTTTACTTTCTCTGAGATGCAAAGACAAAACATTTCAATTCTCTGTATGTTTTGCACATAAGTCAGTTTTTGGTAATAAAAAAAATTAATGGAATCAATTAAAATGCATTTCTTTAATATTAATATAATAAAAGATTGATGATGTCAGTCGGTTTGGAGCTCTTACTCATTCTGCTGATCTTGTTTAGTGAACTGAGCTTCACAAAATGAATTCTGTTTCCAATTGTTGCTACAATCCACCATTAACTAGGAAATGTTTTACTCAGTGGGTTTTCAGGCACCCTTTATACACTCCATTACACTTTATTAAATCAACCTGATAAATACTCATGTGGTAAAATATGTGCTTAGTAGTTATCATCTCAGTTTAAAGGCTGAATATGGAACACAAACACCATAGCGACATCTAGTGTGTAGATGTTGTACTTGCAACAACAGAACTCATTTTACAGCCGTTGAGGTGTTTGTTCGCTGCCGATACACGAAGCGACCAGCCAGCCGGCACCATGTCCAATGACAAATCATACAGGGTAAGGACTAGTTTCTAATAATAAGTTCAACGTTAGAACATCTTCTGGGCTTAGACTTGTCGAGTCCGCCATTTTGCACAGTCTCAGCCTCACTGTGCCGAGCGAATTTTTTTACTGCAATGGTGCCCTCTTTATTGCCTGGTAGATGTAAACATAAACCCAGTGTCGTGCCTGTTAAAATTATTTTTTTCTTTATTTTAGGTATAGCGTTTAAAGGAAAAACTGTACCTTGATTCTACACACCTCCAAATGCCCGGTGGTGGTAATTATTTTCTAAAAATATAGCTTTTTATTCAAAATTCCATATATTTAAACGTTAACAGATTTTTTTTTTGTTAGGATAAAACGTTGAAGGGTTTTGTGTTGTAATACATATGATACAACCACATTCACATCTGTGAGGGTCGACTGGACTACAAAAAACATCTTAAATTGTTAAAATCCTGTTTCTTTTGCTGACGTATCAAACCTCTGATTGGTCATCAAACCATTTCACAAGAATGCATGGCAAGCAGAAAAGAAGAACAAAAAAAAAAACAGAAATACAAGATCTGCTGCTTTCGCTAAATGTGGCTAGAATGCTGCCTCAACAGACCGACAGTGCTAACAGACCGAGTCTTGTGACCTGACATCATATGGTGTTTAAGAAATGCACTGATTTAGTTGTTTTTTTTCTCAGAAAATCACATGAAACCACTTTTTATTTTGATAATGCTCATATAGAACCATAAAACCACGGCATGACTTGATGGATGTTCTCTCATGTTGAAGAGGTTCTAAACCAACTTCTCATTCTCATATAAAATCACTTCTTGTATTTTAATGTCAGGTGAGTCACAGGAAAAATTGAAACCCACATTCTGCATAAACCCATTGTGCCTTGCTAGGCAGCTCTGACGCATACTTTCAGGCTAATTAATCAAATGCAGACCACGGTATAGGTGGTACTAAAGAGCGGGCAAAACACCTACCACAGAAGACATTCCATAATCATATGCAAATGAGGGCTTTCGTCTTCGTCTTCGTCTTCCTCCGCTTATCCGGGTCCGGGTCGCGGGGACAGCATCCCAATTAGGGAGCTCCAGGCCGTCCTCTCCCCGGCCTTGTCCACCAGCTCCTCCGGCAGGACCCCAAGGCGTTCCCGGACCAGATTGGAGATGTAACCTCTCCAACGTGTCCTGGGTCGACCCGGGGGCCTTCTGCCGGCAGGACATGCCCGAAACACCTCCCCGGGGAGGCGTCCAGGAGGCATCCTGACCAGATGCCCAAACCACCTCAACTGGCTCCTTTCGATCCGGAGGAGCAGCGGTTCTACTCCGAGTCCCTCCCGAATGTCCGAGCTCCTCACCCTATCTCTAAGGCTGAGCCCGGCCACCCTACGGAGGAAACTCATTTCGGCCGCTTGTATCCGCGATCTCGTTCTTTCGGTCATTACCCAAAGCTCATGACCATAGGTGAGGATTGGGACGTAGATCGACCGGTAAATCGAGAGCCTGGCTTTCTGGCTCAGCTCCCTCTTCCCCACGACAGATCGGCTCAGTGTCCGCATCACTGCAGACGCCGAACCAATCCGCCTGTCGATCTCCCGATCCCTCCTACCCTCACTCGTGAACAAGACCCCGAGATACTTAAACTCCTCCACTTGAGGTAGGACCTCTCCCCCGACCCAGAGGTGGCAAGCCACCCTTTTCCGGTCGAGAACCATGGTCTCAGATTTGGAGGTGCTGATCCTCATCCCAGCCACTTCACATTCGGCCGCGAACCTACCCGTTAAGAGCTGAAGGTCAGAGCTGGATGAAGCTAGGAGGACCACATCATCCGCAAAAAGCAGAGACGAGATTCTCCTGCCACCAAACTCGACACACTCCACACCACGGCTGCGTCTAGAAATTCTGTCCATAAAAGTGATGAACAGAACCGGTGGCAAAGGGCAGCCCTGGCGGAGTCCAACCCTCACTGGGAACAGGTCCGACTTACTACCGGCTATGCGGACCAAACTCACGCTCCTCTGGTAAAGGGACTGAATGGCTCTTAACAGAAAGCCACCCACCCCATACTCCTGGAGCGTCCCCCACAGGGTGCCCCTGGGGACACGGTCATAAGCCTTCTCCAAATCCACAAAGCACATGTGGATTGGTTGGGCAAACTCCCATGGCCCCTCCATCACCCTTGCAAGGGTATAGAGCTGGTCCACAGTTCCACGGCCAGGACGAAAACCACATTGCTCCTCCTCTATCTGAGATTCAACTATCGATCGGACCCTCCTCTCCAGTACCTTGGCGTAGACCTTTCCAGGGAGGCTGAGGAGTGTGATCCCCCTATAGTTGGAACACACCCTCAGGTCACCCTTCTTAAAGATGGGGACCACCACCCCGGTCTGCCACTCCCTAGGAACTGCCCCCGATGACCACGCAATGTTGTAGACACGTGTCAACCATGACAGCCCTACAACATCCATATCCTTGAGATACCCAGGACGAACCTCATCCGCCCCCGGGGCTCCGCCGCTGTGTAGTTGTTTGACTACCTCAGCAACTTCTGCCCCCGAGATCGGACAGTCCATCCCCAGGCCTCCCAGCTCTGGTTCCTCCTCGGAATGCGCATTGGTGGGATTGAGGAGCTCCTCAAAGTATTCCTTCCACCGTCCGACTATAGCCTCAGTTGACGTCAGCAGCTCCCCATCCCCACTGTAAACAGTGTGAGCGAGTTGCTGCCTTCCTCTCCTGAGGCGCCGGACAGTTTGCCAGAACCTCTTTGGAGCCGATCGATAGTCTTTCTCCATGGCCTCCCCAAACTCCTCCCACGCCCGAGATTTTGCCTCGGCAACTGCCACTGCTGCACCCCGCTTGGCTATCCGGTACCTGTCTGCTGCCTCCGGAGACCCACAGACCAGCCACGCCCTGTAGGCCTCCTTCTTCAGCCTGACGGCTCCCCGAACCTCTGGTGTCCACCAGCGGGTACGGGGGTTGCCACCACGACTGGCACCGGCCACCTTACGACCACAGCTAGCAACAGCCGCCTCGACAATCGCAGAGTGGAACAAGGCCCACTCGGACTCAATGTCCCCCACTGCTCTCGGGACGTGGTCAAAGCTCTGCCGGAGGTGGGAGTTGAAGACCGTCTTGACAGGTTCTTCTGCCAGGCGTTCCCAGCAGACCCTCACTATGCGTTTGGGTCTGCCAGGTCTACGCGGCATGTTCCCTTGCCATCTGATCCAACTCACCACCAGGTGGTGATCAGTTGACAGCTCCGCCCCTCTCTTCACTCGGGTGTCCAAAACATACGGCTGCAGGTCAGATGATACGACTACAAAATCTATCATCGACCTGTGACCTAGGCTGCCCTGGTACCAAGTGTACCGGTGGGCATCCTTATGTTCGAACATGGTGTTCGTTATGGCCAAACTGCGGCTTGCACAGAAGTCCAATAACAAAACACCGCTCGAGTTCAGATTAGGTGGGCCGTTCCTCCCAATCACACCCCTCCAGGTCAAGCTGTCATTGCCCACGTGAGCATTGAAGTCCGCCAGCAGGACAATGGAGTCCCCTGATGGAGCACTATCTAGCACTCGTCCCAGGGACTCCAAAAAGGGTGGGTACTCTGAACTGATATTTGGCCCATAAGCACAAACAACAGTCAGGACCCGTTCCCCAACCCGAAGGCGCAAGGAAGCTACCCTCTTGTCCCCCGGGGTAAACCCCAACACACAGGCAGAGAGTCTCGGGGCTAACAAAAAGCCAACCCCAGCCCTCCGCCTCTCACCCGGAGCAACTCCAGCAAAGTAGAGTGTCCAACCCCTCTCCAGGTCTCGGGTTCCAGAGCCAATGCAATGTCTCGAGGTGAGTCCGACTATATCTAGCCGGTACCGCTCAACCTCTGCCACAAGCTCCGGCTCCTTCCCCGCCAGCGAGGTGACGTTCCATGTCCCAAAAACTAGTTTTCTTGTCCGGGGATTGGACCGCCAAGACTCCCGCCTTGGTCTGCCACCCGATTCGCATTGCACCGGACCCTTCATGTTCCTCCTGCGGGTGGTGGGTCCACAGTTGGACGAGCCCATGTATCCGGTTCGGGCTGGGCCCGGCCGGGCCCCATGGGCGAAAGCCCGGCCACCAGGCGCTCGCTCACGGGCCCCAACCCCAGGCCTGGCTCCAGGGTGGGACCCCGGTAACCCTCCGGGCCGGGTACTCCGACTCTTCGTTTTAACCGCCATGAAAGATCCTTCGAACCGTTCTTTGTCTCACCCTTCACCTAAGACCAATTTGTCATGGGAGACCCTACCAGGGGCACTAAGTGCCCCAGACAACATAGCTCCTAGGATCATTAGGGCACTCAAACTCCTCCACCACGATAAGGTGACGGTTCAATGAGGGCTTTTATGACTGAAATTGGTGATACTTGATCCAGGGAATATACTAAAAACTAGAACACACCCAATTACTTATAATTTCCTCACACAATCCTGGAGGCCAATATAACACTCAGAAAAAAACGGAAAGTATTTTTGACTTACAGAACAGAAGGTGGTGGGCCAGTGGTGGGTCAGGGTCAGCTTGTTCCATATTTGGCTGAAATACACAGAATGTTCTCAGCAGCTCTCAATTTGCTTGTTATTCTTATAAAATAATAAAAGGATGAGATCATTTAGTGAGAGAACATTACATCTGGTAGAAAAATAAAGCAGATGGTGGCAATGTTAATCAGAGAAACTCTAAAATGTGATGTTCTTTGTACTCACTGAGGCGAAGCGGCAGAGAAGAAGACTGCTGCCAGGCAGAACAGGAGAGGAGAGCTAAGGTTCATGACTGATCTGAAACAAGATGCTCCTTTAGACAAAATATGGCGTGGACAGATTCAAAACCTAATTAAGTTAAAATTATTAGGAATTCATACCTTAAAATGAAAAACAAGACAACAATGGACTCCTTATTCTATAATGAAGGTGTCAAGTTTCTCATTTCTTAGCCAGAAGAATATGTTTTTGGTATTTTTAAAATGAGAGTTAATGATGTAAAACCAGAAAGTGAATCACCTGAAGCTGTACCAATGGTGTACTGATGAACGGCTCCAAAGATGAATTAAGCACTTATTCTCAAACACAAATTCGGTTTCTGGAATATAACTTTCCTCACACAGCACCGCATAAATATGTCTGGGGCATTCAGAGGGCTCAATGTTTATGCATGGCCATCCTTCATCAAAATAACTCCACTGCTTGGCTGACAGGAAGAGGCTGCAGAGTTGGCCTGAATAATTCTCCTGGTCCCATCAACTATCTGAAATTTAACAATAAATAAATAAATAAATAAATAAGATATCTAGGATTTTGGTTTCAGTTATAACTGATCATTGCCAGACCAGGAAGCTGGGAAACTCCACCAACTCCTGTATTAAGAGTTTTAAAATTACATGTGCCAAGTACTGGATAGTGAATGTTCCTGAGAGTCCAAAAACATAGATGCTATATTTGTTGACTTATTTATTTATTTATTTATTACAAATAGCAATGCATTTATTTGTGTATTAATAATTGGCTAATAAAATTGGGCAAATAAATAAGCAACACGAAAAAAGAAAAAAACAAACAAATATCTACTTCCTCAAGCTTCAAATCTAGTAGCAATTAAAACTTTTTCAACATAACTTGCTTCAGACAGCACTGTCACCCGAAAAAAAATCACAATACAATACAATAATAACACCAACACACTAAAAACATGTAAAAAGAGCTAAAATGTACTTGGTAAAATGTTCGACATGCTCTGTTCTGTGCAGAACAAGAACAAACAGCGTCACTGTTTGGTAAGTTCAACACAGAAAATGATTCATCAGCAGATAAAACTAAGACAGCACCACCCTAAAAGTACACGATCTTAATGTTACCATAAACCGTGAAATTAGCCTATTAACATTTGCTTTACACAAACGTAAGTGATACATATGTAAATTATGACAACTGAAATGCTTTGTTTGAAAAATATTACATATTTTTGCACACACCTTAACTTGAGCCGAGCAGGAAGCAATGGTTGTTTCTACGAGCTGTTGTTTATGTCCCGAAGCCGCTCTGCCGATCAGCTGAGCCAATAGGAAACTCCGCACACATAAAACGTCATCACGCATGGGGACTGTTTGGTGCAGATAGCCACCTTTTCCGGTTGTTTCAGATTAAGAGCCCAATGTTTTTTAAATCTGGTTTCTGTATGTACAGTCTATGTCTGGTTCTCATAAATTTGCTAAGAAATAATTAGAAAGAAAGAAGCGGTCCAAAAAATAAATAGATAAATAATTAAAGAAATATTTAATAACCATAAAAATATAAATATAAGCATAATATGTATAAAATATAATAACATTCTAATGCACTGCCAGTGTGTTCACAAACAATCTACTTTCTAGTAAATAAAAACAAAACAAAGCTAAACAAAATTGCTCAAATTAAATTTGACTATATTTCTGACACAAAATCCAAGAAAAATTAAAAAATAATGCATTTTTTACACATTTTACTCCAAGGCTGTGGGCATTACGTTTTTCTTTGTTTATAAAATTTGCTGTAATTGGGATTATTTAAAAAAAAAATCTGCAAATGAAGTAATCTTAAATGCTTTACACTGACACACTTTTAGGTTACTTAAAGACAATAAAGAGAACATTAAAACATAAGGGAAGGTGCGCAATGTGTTCAATTGTGTGCATTCTAATTGCGAGTATGTGCAGTGCTGCACATCCTGTTTACAACCAAGAAGTTCTCTGAGTCAAATTACCACATTGCCAGCAGAGGGAATCTTATCACTGTTATACTGACAAATTAGCGTAAAGCCAACAGTTTTTAAAACAAAAAAATGAACATTAATTATTTTAGATCAGTAAATATGTTTCTCTCGCAGAAAAACAAGATGATGTGACAAATTATAGCACTAAATGATTGCCATGCATGTAGAAAGACTGGTAGGTCACTCAAAAATGTTTACAAAATTTATGAGTAAATTTGACCCTAAATTATTATTTTTTTCTAGAGTAGCAACTAAATACTTGAGATTTTAAATGCTGTGTGTCAAACCAGTCCATCATTTCAAAAACAATAATAAAAAATTACTTTCTTGCACAAAATGCAGCTGTAAAAAAAATCCCAATGAGGCATCAAATTCTAAAATGTCTCCTTTTACCATAGACCGACCCATTTGCCACTCACGTCACCCCCCCACTTCACACCCTCTGTTCCAAACCCCGCTCTGCCAAATGTAATCCCATGTTGTTCCCTCACATGATTTTGTCTCAGATGTGAAATGTGTTTCACAGTCTCTCCGTGGTGTCAGGAATAGTCGAGTTGTAACCATAGCTAGTTTTATTAATAGACTGTGGCCAAAGTTCAGCACACGGCGCAGCGTCTCAAGATGTTCATTAATGCAGACGGAGAAAACTCTCGAAGTTGGGAACTCAATGATGTGTAGCATGGAGCACGATTTAAACGTTTAACTGAATGTGTCTGATCACAATCTGCAACGCTGCATTTGAAATGATAAAGATGGTGATAAAAAATAAAAATTAGCAAACATTTCTAATTTTATTCTGTTCATATTGTACTGTTGTCATTCCACCACTGGAGTCACAGATTTCACATGTAAACGTGTTGCTGCTTCCATGTGTAAGTGTGGTTTTAAGAAGAAATTATTCTAATCAATTACTGGTTTAAGTGGCCCCCCAAGTCTTGAAGGATACTAGTTATATATAGGCATGTCTGTCCTTATAAGGCCTCGGGGAGACGCGAGGTGGGGGGGCTTTTGGAGATGGGGGGTTGTTGTGTTGGCCTTGTACAGAACTTGGTTTCGGCTGACTCCCTGTGGATTCAGGCTGACAACCGAAGTTGCTGAAAAGAAAATCTGAAGAGGTAAGACATTTAAAATGTTTTCTGCTGTTTTCTCCTCTGCTCCGTTATCCTTTTATCCGACCTTCATTGGAAACCCAAGGGCAGCAGGTGGGTACAGCAGGATGGGCCCGGGGGGAAGTGAGCTCAGCCAAGAGATGTTTTGTATTCCTTAGCCACTGCTAATGATACTTAAAAGTGATGAATGAGATATAGCTGTTATTCAGGGTAGTGTGTGGTGTATTAAGAGGAAACAAGTGGCCAACAGAGGGCTCTTTGTAGCACTTTGTTATGGTTTGGACACATGAGACTGGAAACGCGTTTCTGTATTTATCTTAATTAGTAGAGGTGAATTCAGGCTGGATCTCTTGTTCGGTTCCTGAGGTGGCTGTCTGTGGGATCTCCTGTGAGTGTGTGTGTGTGTGTGTGTGTGTGTGTGTGTGTGTGTGTGGTTCTAATACTTTCCAAACACATTACCCATTGTTCTTTCAGTACTTTGTTTGTTTTTAGCTCATTAGAGCATAAAACACTGTAATTGCATTGTGGGATGCTCTCGTGGTTTAAGCTGAGAGTATAAAAGATCAGTTACAGATAGAGAGGCTTGGGTGTCATTTGGCAAGGATTGTGTGCTGTTCCAGTACTGGCTGACCTCACAGAGCCAGTAAAGTGCAGGACCTGATGGGAGAAGATTATAAACGGCTTGCAAATCAGCAGTTGGTGCATGGTGCAGCTGATTTTAATGCTTCTTTTGACTGTAAAACACCCACCAAATACCGCGTATCAGCTGTTATTTTATAGAAGACGGCTTAACTTGTTTACAGTGTAAAAGCTCCTGGGATTTGGTGATGCTGCTGTGGAGGATAGAAAGGCTGTGGCTTAAAATATAAACTTACTAATTTTGTATAAACTTGAGAAATATTTAGCATTTTCTTAGTCCCTTAGGCATCGTTTGAATTTGAACGATTTCAGTTCCAGTTCCGATTCCGGTTCCGATTCCTAGAGATTCTCGATTTCGATTATTTCAAGAGGCAGGGTTCGAAAACCTTACATGTTTTCAATGAGCCAACTAACCATAGTTCTTACTTGATGAACTAGTCACAACTTCTTCATGAATTTTAATTAGATTAACTTACTAAACTGAAGACACAATTTAGAACGCAGCAATGCAAACAATTCTGATGGATTCCACTTTGTTGATATTTGGAAGCTTCTTCTTCTGGTCCTTGGACTGGGTATCAAAACTGAACCTAGATCCCGGACAAGCCCCTATTAACTGTCTTAAACTACGGAGGGAAAAGGGATTTTCACTATTATTAATACTAACTTCAAGGGTTTGAGCAAAGTTTGATTTATCAGTCAGGGTGACTCTGATCTGCCTGACTGCACCTTTGGGGCATCAGAGGCTAAAGTGGCACTGAAGCTGCATTGAAATGGGACTCTGGCGCAGCGCGTCTCATTAGATTTCAGGGGGAGGTTGGGCTCAGAAGAACTGCTTCACATTTCATCTGAACCTATTTCTGGTCTCTGAGAACCATGAGGTAATGAGAAGCTGCATGTTGCTTTGTGACGATGGTATGAGGCAGTTATGCTTTTGTTTTGGTGCTCATTCAGGAAGATGCAGCAAGTGACAATAAGAAAAAATGTATAAGAAAACAGCATTGTTCTGTTAAATTTAGTTTCAAGTCACAACCATACGAAATGGTTCCCTAGAGGAAAACAAATACGTCATATATCTGTTTATGTTTTGTTCACTAGACAGTGTAGGAAGAAGCCCTACAGGAATCGTCAGCAGATCTTCTTTTTTGTTGTTGTAAAAGATAAATAAACATGTGTTGGATGTGTGAAAAAGGAGTGTAGCTATCACATCCCCACACTGGTTGGTCAGCTTTGAGTGTGATGCCTGGGCTGGTTTCTTTATGCTTCTCAATGAGACCAAGATGCTCAAATATCGACATTTTAACAATCCTTCTCCCTGAAATTAACTTGAATTAGAATTAAACATTTAGATAAATCATTAAAACTCATAAAAAATAGTCCTAAAAGTAACAAGAAATTAGGGTTAAATGTGAGGGTGAGAGAAAATTAACTCAAAGCCACTCGATGAGCTACATTTCCTCATTGGCTTCACTTTCAGTGTATAGCTTGGAAAAAAATAGAATAAATTTCTAATTACGTATCTGTTTTTGAAATGTAGCACCAGCCATTGCTTGTAGAAGTTGTAGATGTGAGAGTTTTATTTATTTTAAAACTGATGTTATTGTTAAATGTAGGAGGAAAGTCAGGTGTGCTCTGCATGTTTCTTACTTGATCATTAGTGCAAATAGTTTAATTAGATGATTTAGCAGTATTAAATCAGTGCTGAAATGCAATGATTTAGTATTTCTAGTCATTTGTTTCAAACATGAGTACTCTGAGAAGCTGTATTGAAAACAATAACGGCCACCAGATAAATAACGATCCAATCCCATGTAACCTTTTCTTTTGGGTTTTACTTTTAATAAGATGTTTCTCTAGTTAACAGATATAAGGCTCATCCATTGTATTGTAAGTCACAAGTTAGTCTCAAGTCTTTCACCAAATCCTGAGTCTAGGCCTAAACTTTTAAGTTTAAAGGTGTGGTTTACTGCAAAACATGTTTTTTATGATAATTTCTGATTATGAAGTCACTGGTTTTTTCATGAAAATAGTCTCCTACATCTATCTCCTACATTAGCTTCTGACTGAAAACAGACGATAAAACCCTCTCCTTATTCCGCTCTACTTATTCCGCCTTTCCCACAATCGACTGATTTCCCACTTTCCTATTCATGTTCTCTCTCACTTTCCTTAGATATTTTTTTATCACAATTGTTATACTTTTATCTTATTTTAAACATATTTTTCATCAGTTTTTGAAATATTTTTTATACTTGATTTTTTTTTTTGTTTATGTGAAGTGGCTCATGATTTTTATCTTGAGAGGTGCTATATAAAAGATTTTGGTAACACTTTTGTTTAGGGAACACAAATTAACCATTAATTAGCTGCCAGTTAATATGCATATTAGTGGACTACGAAGTCTGAACTACTCCTTATTAAGCATTTATGTACTGCTTATTACTAATGCCGTAATTGTAACATTAACAGGCCATAAATTAAGAGTTTTATCATAATAAGTCATTCAAAATGGTTTATTAACTGAAATTAAATGTTTTGATGTTGATTAACGCACATACTAATTAGATCTGACTTTAGAATGGGGAACACATTCTAGCCTTTAAGTGATTATTTGATTGTTATTTAGGCTCTATTAACATGTGGAGCTAGGTGTTTATGTACATAATACCAGAACATAATATTTTTGTTTGTTAATGCAGAATATTTATTCCCCTTGAATTACTTCTTTAAAAGCCAAATACTGATTTGAGCTAATTAGTATGTATGTTAATCAGCAACAAAACATTTACTTTCAGTTAACAAACCATTATGAATGGCTTATTATGATAAAACTCTTAATTTATGGCCTGCTAATGTTAGAATTACATCATTGGTAATAAGCACCAAATAATAGCTTAATAATTAATAATTCAGACTTAGTAGTCTACTAATATGCACATTAATTGGCAGCTAAATAATGGTTAATTTGTGTTCCCTAAACTAAAGTGTTCTTTCTTTCTTTCTTTCTTTCTTTCTTTCTTTCTTTCTTTCTTTCTTTCTTTCTTTCTTTCTTTCTTTCTTTCTTTCTTTCTTTCTTTCTTTCTTTCTTTCTTTCTTTCTTTCTTTCTTTCTTTCTTTCTTTCTTTCTTTCTTTCTTTCTTTCTTTCTTTCTTTCTTTCTTTCTTTCTTTCTTTCTTTCTTTCTTTCTTTCTTTCTTTCTTTCTTTCTTTCTTTCTTTCTTTCTTTCTTTCTTTCTTTCTTTCTTTCTTTCTTTCTTTCTTTCTTTCTTTCTTTCTTTCTTTCTTTCTTTCTTTCTTTCTTTCTTTCTTTCTTTCTTTCTTTCTTTCTTTCTTTCTTTCTTTCTTTCTTTCTTTGATTTGAAAAGCCTGACAGCATGACATCACACTGTCACTTAACATTCATGGGCTCACTCATCTTGACACATGGCGGGGAAGGCTGTTGTTGTTTTAGCATCCAGGAAACAGCTGAGAACATCTTGGCCTAATAGCAGCTAACTTTTAACATTAGCAACTCCACCACACAGCAAAACACCTCCAGGCTTGTGTTATTTGCAGAGATAAAACATTAAAGTTGCAACATAAACAGTGGTAGGGCCACATTGCTGTTAACCAATCAGAGGGGAGATGTCCAAATACCAGGAAAAAAAGACTCCAAATCCTGCCATCTGAAGCTCTCCTGTGATGCGGCAATCTTCTAACTGCTGAAACAGGCACACCAGGGCCTTTGTACCCAGAGTACATGGCATTCATTTGTACTAGTGACTATTGCAAACGTACTGATTGAAGGAGTGACTCACACCTTGAAGTCCTGAACAAGCCATTTGACTGACTTTGTAAACTAATTACAGTGTAAAAAAAAAGAAATATTTCCCAGAAAGTATACGTTTAATTGAAGGTGTTTTACTTCACAGAACAACACAGAACTTTTGGTGTTTTTCCCAGTAAATATTTTCAGTGTCTGGAATATAAAATATTTTCAAGTGACAAGTCCCAAATCTTTGTGATTTGTTTAGGCCAGGTCTAAATTAGTTAACATTGTGACTTTGACGAGTCCTGGTGTTCATGTGTTTTCAGTTCACACGTCTGGAGTTACATTTTTTAAGGTCTTCCTTACAGCTCTCTTTGCATCTAATTAAGAAATCTTTCCAATGAATGAGCCTAATGAATGAGCAACACTTTGGTCTGGTTTTCCTGTTCTAACTGCTGCCAGTATACTCAGCTGTCATCTTTTGTCTGTTTTACTGCTGCTCCAACAGGTCAGAGTCTACAGCGTCACCATGTCAGCACGGCTCAAGCGTGAATACAACCATGAATACCATCACAAACAGAGCCAATATGTGGTTAAAGAATATAGCAGGTACAGGAGATAAGGGGCACACATTTCCACGACTAATCTCTTTAATCGTAACTGCACATAAAACCTGCTGCAAGTACTCACTACGTTTATGTCTTTAGCTCTGAGGCGTCAGAGGAAAGATATGAGCACAAAACACAAGCTCGCATCCAGGAAGTGGTACGGAACCTTATCAGTTGTCAAATACAATCAGACAGAAGTCATGAAGTCAGAGATTAAACAAAGATTTCCAAAATCTAAAAATGTGTTTGTTATTTATACATATGTCCTGATTAGGTAAGAACAAAGATGGTGGAAAAATATGTACGTGAGGAGCCTATGGTCAGGGGACCGCAGTTCATCATCAGACTCAGATCCCACACTGTGTTTGAAAACACACCGATCAAACTCTTCTGCACTGTTGAAGGCTTCCCCATGCCAGTTGTGAAATGGTAAGAGGAATATAATTAATCAATGTGATTGAAGATATCAGAAACATATTTTCACCTTCTTTTAATAAAGTTTTAACATTTAAACTTTAATATGTATGAACAAAAAGTAGTGAGAAGTTTAAAAAAAGGTTCCTCTTTTCTGTAGGTATAGAGATGGTGTCATCATGGACTTGTCCTCAGGAAGATATTTGATTGAGGCCAAAGGTGGAAGTCATTCCCTGATGATCCCAAGGTAAGTTAAACAAAGCACCTTTCTTGGTTCTACATCAGAAACTACCTTTATTAATAATGAGGATATCCTTTATAACATCTAAATTGGGGTTTTCAGCCTTTGAGCCATTTTATTTTCTAACAGTCACTTTCTCTAATGTATTGACTCATTGCTTATACACAATCATCAGAGATTTTCCAAATTCCTTAAAAATAAAAAATGAGGAATCACACATATTGTAAAACAAGGATTAAAAATGTTCACACTTTAAAGGCATACTAAGCAATTTTTTCTTATTTTCAAATCATTTTCTTGAGCCAGCATGTGCTAAAATGACCCTTTAATGAAAAGCCTCTCAGCACCTTTTGCCCCTTGTGAGCAGGACACCCCATTTGCAACTTCAGCCTTTCTGGACCGGTGCCCTGAAGTCGGAGGCTCAATCTCAGTAGTCAAACTTCCACCCTTGCACCCTTCAAATGCGCGATCCCGACCAGGGGCACGAGCGCGTAGGGTGTCCCAATTCTCAAGTGCGGAAGTTGATCATGCCCCTTTTGCACCCTTGATCCGCACTTCACCCAAGTCCGCAGCAATGCAGAGCCTAATGAACTTCTGCACAGGTGTGTTGGAGCAGAGAAACCACTAAAACATGCTGGATACGGGCCCTCCAGGCCTGGAATTGAACACCCCTGCCTTATGGTAATCCATGTTTAAACAGTGGAAAAGATGAGCCATACCTGGTTAGCATTGATAGCAACTTGTTTTATATGGTGAAACAGACAAAGTAATTCAATAAAGAAACACAGCAGGAGTCAAACAAGAGGCAACACTGGGAGTTTTCTGAATCACGAGCTATGAGTAACGATTCTAGCATGTTTTAGATTGTGAACACAGCTGGTTTGTTGGATTTAATGAACTGCTCCTGTAGAAACGAATGAAGGCTGAGGAGAAATTTCAGCAATTAAAGTGTTTCAGTTTTGTTTTTAAGACAGTGCTTTAAAACGAACACTAGGGGGCGGTCAAGGCAAGCCGAACCATTGCCTTGTTGTTGAATGTAGGCAGCTTAGGTGGGCTAATGTAACAAGCCTGTGCCGTCTCCGACCCCCTTAGCTATGCAAATTAGTAATGTTACAATGTCCACAGAGAAACGGTACATTCTGAGAAAAGCTGGTTAAACACAGTTTATATATGCCACCTTAAATAAGCATTTCCCAGTGCTTCAAAATTGGCAGTATATGAATGTTGCAGTAATGCTAACAGCAGAAAAACAAGCTGAGATGCTGCTAACACAATCCAAAGCAACAGCTAACATTCATCTTGGAAGAAAAGAAAACAACAAAGAAGAAGGTTGGAGCACACATGCAACCTTCCAGGATGTACTGGAAATATACAGACTTTGGAAGTATACCAGGTAGATAGCTTATGGTCTTTGTACACAGTACCCTCCTTCTCAACAGGCATCGGCCAGACACTTCCCCATTTGCTCGCAACACACACTCACAGAACACAGAGTTTCAGCATCAGGGTAAACCAGCCAATAAGAACGCTACTCATTTAGCTTCTATTCATGGCATGGGTGAATGGGCGTGAAAATCAGTCTTTCCGTTGTAGGGCTTTATTATTGTGTTGTGTTTGGCCATTTATCAAGGCTCCTGGGCCATTTTGAGCTACAAAAAAGTTCCATTTGCTATACAAAGGCTCAAAACACAGTTTCTGAGGGGACACTAAAGCCAAAATTGTCAAACCTGACAATAACAATGATATCATCTAATTATTTAGATTTTAAAACTGTTTAAATGCAAGAAAAAAATAAAGCAAAATAACTCATAACTCAAAATAACTGTAATAGCTCATGAGGGTATGAACATTATTTAGCACAGACATGTTTATGAAAATGTATTTTGTGTTTTCATTAAGATATTAAAAATTCTTAAAGTTTGTCATATCATAGACCGCTTTGTTTACATGTGTTTAAGTTGTGTTTGCATGGGTCACTACTCTACACATACACATAAAAATGCCTAACTATTAACATGACAAAAATCTAATGCTGTAAATTGCTTGAAGAGCCCCACATACATTCAGATTAGAGGAATCACTGAAGCAGCTGAGTGTGTCTGCAGACAAACTGGAGCATACCTCGCTCACACTCCAGGCCCTGGAAGCTCAGCTGTTCAAGTGCTGACCTCAGTGTGAGGTGATACTCTGGGATTCTTGTTAGTCATCACTCTTTGAATGGACCCCCCTCCAAATGTTCCTAAATCGATATGACTATTAGATAGATGACCGTTATCACTATACTTTAGTGTTCTTTATTATCTCAAATAATAAGACACTGTTGTAATTTAAGACTTGGAATTGTGTCCAAAATGTGCTAAAATGAATTATTAGCCTCGAGCTAAACGGGAAGAAAAGAAAAAGGTTTTGCCATGAATGGAGATCATTGGGACAGTTTGACTATTCATCTTTTGTCTTCATTTGTTTGTAATCTCATCATGAATGTAATCAGTAATGAAAATAGGACAAAAATAAGTCAAAAGAAAAGTAATTCTGTGAAAAGCCTTTTTAAGACTAATGACAAGGACTACTCTGAAAGATGTACAAAAAAATAATCTTCTTGGAAACAAAACATAAAAAATAAATACATAAACTTTTGATGCCTTGTCCTCCCCTTGAGGACCCCATCCTGCATGCTTAAAAGCTGTGGAACACTGAAAAAACATTTTAAAATTATTAATTCTGATTATAATCGGTCACTCTGAGTTTGTCATGCAGGCTGAACATGAAAATAGTCTCCTGCACCTATCTCCTACATTAGCTTCTGATGGAAAATAGATGGTGAAACTCTAGGATTTGAAAATTCTGACAGATCTACGTCACACTGTCACTTAACATTCATTGACTCACTCATCTTGACTCACGACGGGGAAGGCTGTTGCTGGTTTAGCGTCCGGAAAACAGCAGAGAATGTCTTTGCAAGCTAGCCGTTAGCATTAGCAACTCCACTACACAGCAGAACTTCTTCATGCTTGTGTTATTGTGGAGAAAAACATCAATGTTGCAGAGTAAGCAGAGTCAGTGGTAGAGTTGTGTTGCTGTTATCCAATCAAAGGCGAGATGTTCAAATATCAGGAAATAAGACTCCAAATCTGTTATCTGAAGCTAATTTCTCCTCCAACTGAATTCTCCATGCAAAGACAAGCGCTTCTGAGAATTTTTTCCCCCAATATGATTTATAAGGCATTCAATCCTATTAGAGGCCACTGCAAATGTATTCAATGAGTGTTCCACACCTTTACATTGTTTCCAAGACATTGATTTAGTAGTTGAGTGACATTTTTAACATACACTTAAATCTTGCCATTAACAGATTTAAATCCAGTAAGCATGATTAATACACATCTAAAACACCCTTCAGAACCAAAAACTGTGTTTAAAGCAGGGTTCGATTTACAGGGGAGCTAAGGGGAACCCGGCTCATCCGAAAGTAGAACGGGCTCCCCTGGAACTCCCCAACCTACACACCCAGGGAGAGCCCGGAAGAAGATCCAGGTTCTACCTATATTACGTTGTTTATGTGGACTTTCTGAAGATTCTTATGAGCGAAGAGGATGCAGAGCACTCTTTGATGCGCTCCAGGCAGCTGCGTCCTGAGCACGGCCACAGTAACATTGTCAAAGTGTCGCCACTCCAAAAAATATAATTAACACACAATTGTTTATGTCAGCTCATATTCTCTGGTGGTTTATGTCTTTCATTTGTACCTGATGCGCTTCGCTGCTGCGGAGCAGACCGCATCACCCGTCTTGTGCTCCGTTGACTTCACCCCAGTGGCGCGGTCGAAACGCACTTCACTATTTTTGCGGTCGGTAAATGCTTTTGAACTGCTTAGTTCAAAAGTAACTCAGGAGATGAAAATATAGAAAGTCAGGCAGCAATTATTCTGTAGGAAGATCAGAGACAGACAGGACAGAAAAATAACAGTATTTGAAAAGGAAAATGTAGGTAGATTCATCCCACTACATGTTTTGACTTTCTAAAGCAATCATTAAGCATGTAATATTCATATATTTGATACAATTCAGATCACCTTCAAAGCTCAGTCCTACACCCAGTGCTGTTTCAAGGAATTTCGGAGGCCAAGGCAAAAATAAAGTTGTGCCCAACACCCCCCACTCTTGCTGGGCTTCCCTGGAAGCCTCTGTGTAATTCATACCCTGGTTTAAAGTAAACACTGACAGTAACACTAAAAGATTAAAATGTCCCCAACTATACTAGCTTTTTAAAATGCTGGTCTGAACCCATTAAAATTCCAGATCACTTGACTGTAATGTGTTTAGACCCATGGGTGGGACTGCTTTACAATTATGTTTAGTGTCATGCTGAACTTTAACTTTTCATTTCATCTCACTGTATAGATGTTCAACTGATGATACAGCCCAGTACACTGCTGTAGCTGGTAACTCCCATGGACAGGCTTCTAGCCAGGCGTCCATTATTGTAAAGCGTAAGTTACTGACAGTTGTGTGTTTTCAGCCTTTAACATTTACTCTATTCACTACTTTTTTAATCATTACAAACTTGCTCTGGATTCAAATCAATAGCCAAAGTTGTGTTTTGTCTCTTAGTCGTGTAATATTTTCCATTACTGTGTGTAGATGGATCATTTTCAGTTTTCTAACCATGGGTTACTGCATGATGAAATTAGAATTTACCGTATGTTTATGCAAAACACTCTCAAATAACTTGTCGTGTGTTTGTTAAATTGTTCAGGATACAAAGATGAGGAGGAATCTAATCCATATGCATGGCTGCCTTTCACAGGTAGGCATGAAAATGTAAATACCTCCATTTTTCAGTTTTGATGCTTACAAGTAAACATTAAGTGGATGAACTTGGTCTTTCTTACCCTTTCTAAACACTATCTAAACATTTTCAACAACGGTATCCCAAGATTTCTCCATGTGTAAGTATGACTTTGTCTTCCAGCTTCCATGCTTCCCAAGATCCATTACACAAAAATCAACATAACCTTTGTAGAGAAGTTCGGCCCGGTGTTTGCTACTGAGGGAGAATCTGCAACTCTGTCTGCCACCATGACCCTGAACCCCAACCTGGCCAACCTGCAGCCTGAAGCACAGTGGTATAGAGATGGTAATTGTTCCAAAATACATCATTTACGATACAATGATATTCCTATAATTAGTATTAAATTGTACTGACTCCCTGATATAGCAGTGGAAAATGACAAGATGTCACCAGCTCTTATTTTATTGATTGTTAACTAATCTAAAAATAGCTCAAATAATCTTCTAACAACAACAAATATCTATCTATCTATCTATCTATCTATCTATCATATATATATATATATATATATATATATATATATTCTACAATAAGGGTCCATTTATTAACATTACTTAGTGCATAATTAAGCATAATAAACAGGAAGAAAGAATTAACTGCTTAACCATATAATATAATGCATTACTAAGCCCCCCTGATAATGCACTAACATTTATAAAGTGTTTTCCTTTATTGCATGTGTGTATACTTGAAAAAAAAAACATCTTTAATAGGAAACTATTTTGTGTTTAATTGTAATTTATTATTTAGAAGGCAGCAGACTGGCGTTTGTCATGATTGGGCATTCATGTGGGAACTGGTCTCTCTTTCAGATACTCGTCTGTTTGATTCTAAGTGGGTGAAGATTGAAACAGGCAGAGGAATTACCACCCTGACACTTCCCAACCTTTATAAAGATGACGAGGGTCTTTACACATTGAGGATGGTCACAAAGGGAGGCACTGCTGAACACAGTGCTTTTGTTTCAGTTGCAGGTACAGAAACGCCTAATTATAAAAATAATTATTTGGATCTTTTACTTTAACATCACTGACATAACTCAAGACAGCCTAAAACAGTTTATTTAAGACTTAATTAATTGACGATTGTGTTACACTTAAATTCCTGAAAAGTATTTCACTGGTTTCCATTCAGATGGCCCTCCTCCTGTTGCCCGTGCTCCTGGTGCTCCTATGGATATCAAGATCCATGATGCCAACAGAGACTATGTCATTGTGTCATGGAAGCCTCCCAACACCACCACAGAGGGTCCAATCATTGGATACTTTGTGGACAAGTAGGAGTTTTAAAATATCAACAAAAATCATAAATTGTTTGTCCAACTACTACAGCAGGGTCTCCTTTCTCTTAACATGCAGCAGATTATCTCTTTATTGCCTTCCATGTGTTTCTTATTTTAAGATGTGAAGTCGGAACTGAAAACTGGACCCAGTGCAATGATCACCCCATAAGATCTTAAATACCCCGTTTCTGGGCTGTTTGAAGGACACTCCTTCTACTTCAGAGTCCAGGGCTGTCAACTCCAGTGGAATCAGTAAACCTTCTCGCAGTCTGACCCCATCGCTGTCAATGGACCTACTGAGCTGGAGAGGCTCCATGGTGGGTCTGACTCCATTAGCAAAACAAATGACACCCTTTTATTACTTGCCACTTGGAAGACTTAATAGATGTAGACACCACTCCTGAACCTATAAATGACTAATAGTGAAGTAATAGGTCAATAGTCAAGATTGCCCACAGTCAACTTGATCCTTTATACGAGTGTTTAATGATGTTTCGTTGTACTGGTACACTGGTTCAATCACAAGTAAAGTGATTCTAACAGTGAAGATTTGCACAGTTGGCTTGAATGTTATTAACTGTTGTACCTTGCATGATTGGTCCATCAGTCAGTTGACCAATCACAATTACTATAATTAGTTAACAGTTAAATATAGTTAACAAATTAATAAAAAAATCTGCATTCTCCAGTTAGCTTATCACATCTTTATCTTCTTGCAGCCAAAAAGCTTGGAGGAAAACTGGACGTTGTGTCTTACAACGATGAAGTTGAAGGTGAACTTTTGTTCTAACATTACTCAGAGACGTAATACTCCATAACATGTGAACATTTTCATTTATCTAGTTGTGTGTTTTTGTTTCATTGCAGCCGAAGGAAAGCCCCCAGGTCCTCCTTCAGGAATCCATGTCTGTGAAATAGACAGGACGTACGTAGTGTTGAGCTGGGAAGGCCCAAAATACTTCGGCAAGGTTCCCATGTGGTACTACATTGAAAAGGTAACAGAGCCATAGTTTGGTTAGTTCTCTTAGCAATAGTCAGTACAGTAAGAAGACCTCTCACCAGTGATCTGTGGTTTATTAATAGTATTAAGCTGTATAGATAGTACTTTAGCATAATAGATTGCTGTACTATGGATCTTTCTGTCGTCACAGGCCATGGCAAAACACTGAGGCCTGGCAGCGTGTTAACACTAAGGTCCCTATCCGATCTACCCGGTACGCCGTCTTTGACCTGGCAGAGGGCAAGGAATACAAGTTCAGAGTTTTGTCTGCTAATATGTACGGTGCCAGCGCTCCATCACAGCCATCTGGACTGGTTGAAACTCTGCAACTCAAAGGTGTGATTCACGCAGCTGCTCGCCTTTACTCATGTTTAATAATGCAGTTTTAATAATTTTATTGTGATGATTTTGTTTTTTTGTTTTTTGTATTAAGGTGTGCCATCTGCTCCGGGTCAAGTGGTTGCAACAAGGGGAAACAGACACCTCCCTCCTCATCCAGTGGGCTCCACCAAAAGAACCCAACAATCTGATTGGTTATTACATTGACCAGTGTGTTAAGGGCACCAATAACTGGACCTCAGCCAATCACAAACCTCACAAGAGCACCAAGTAAGACGAACACAGCTGGTGCTTTATTTCCTAGATTGTTAGAAGGAACCTAAAGTGGCTCTCATAAACTTTTAATCTGTTTTTTTCCTTCTTCAGATTTGTGGTCAGTGGTCTGACCACAGGAGAAACCTATATCTTCCGTGTCCAGGCTATTAATGAACTGGGTCTCAGTGATGAATCTCAGGAATCTGCCCCTCTCTCTGTCAGAGCTGCCCTCAGTCAGTATTAAGCCCTCAGCCAGAGTTACGCAGCGCAAAATTTTGAAAAGATGACGCATATTTTGATCAATCATTGCTTCTGTGTTCTTAGCCAACCCTTCTGCTCCTTATGATATTGCACTGCTCAACTGTGATGGCCGTTCGATGGTTCTCAACTGGAAGAAGCCTCTTCATTCTGGAGGTACAGAGATCAAGGAGTATTATGTGGACAAAAGACGCAGTGGAACAACCATGTGGAGGGAGATCCACATTCCACCAGTCACAGAGAGACTTTATAAGGTGCGGAAACATTGGTCTAATGTTTACACTGAGTGTAGGTTGTTAAAACTAACATTGAGTAGGATGTTGGTAACCATGGTAATTTGCATCTACAGGTTGAGGGCCTGACTGAAGGAGCGGTCTATCAGTTCCATGTCTACGCAGCCAACCTGGCTGGTCTCGGACCAGCTTCCAAACATTCAGATGACTTCACGTGTAAGGCCTGGACCATGCCAGAGCCTGGTTAGTAGACCTTGTGTTTGCTTCCATTTGATCCCAAATGTGATGAAACTATGACCCAAACATTAAAACCAGCTATGACTGAACATACAGTAATCTATCCTTGTGTGTTTCGTTTAGGTCCTGCTTATGATCTGACGTTCTGTGAAGTGAGAGATAGTTCAGTGGTGCTTGAGTGGAACAAGCCTATCTATACTGGTTCCGGACCAATCACAGGCTATCATGTTGAGTATGCTGAGACCGGCTCCTCTGTCTGGATCACAGCAAATGAAACAGCCGTCAGTAACCGCTTCCTGAAGGTAAAATAGTCTCAGTTTAACTTATTTTTTAAAGTGAAAGTTTAATTTTCATTCTAGATCATATTGATTACACCACATCTAAGCCTGTAATGGTCAGTTAGTTACTACTTCAAACGTTGCAGAGCATTTTCTTTAAACTGTGTCATACTGACACCTAGTGGATGAAGTAAATAATTACTTTAATTTACTTTTGGTACAAAAATCAATAGTTTTCTTTTTTAAATATTGTAAATGTACCTATAATTGTATTAATATTAAATGTGCTAATAAAATTAGCACATTTAAATTGAACAATAAGATTTCATAATTCATTGATTCCTTTTTTTTCACTTTAGCTTAAATCAGCTTATAATGGTTTTAAAAATAAAATTCTCCGGTTGTCTGTGTGGTTTGTAGGTGACAGGTCTTGTTAAAGGAACAAGCTATGTGTTCAGGGTGAGAGCCGTTAATGCTGCAGGAGTGGGTATGGCCTCGATGCCCTCTGACCCCATGACTGCCAAGACTGTGGAAGGTAACCACTAATAAACAGTGAGACTCTAAATAAGTGAAAATTAAATGTGGGTAAAAGTGTGTCTTTCACTTGTTCAATGATGCACTCTTTGGAGACACTTTTGGAGACACCATTTTAAAACTGTGTGTGTGTGTGTGTGTGTGTGCTTTTTTACCGTAGGCTCCCAGGAAATCTCATGTGTGGTGGATGAGAAGTCTGGAGATATTATTCTTTCGTTTGAGTCCTGCCAACTAGACGAGAGTTCTCAATTCATCTGGAAAAAAGATTATAAAGAAATCACACATTTCTCCAAAGGACTGACGATTAAGACCGAAGGCAGCCAGTAAGACCTTAGACCAGGGGTCAGCCTTCACAATCCAAAGAACCACCTCAGACCGCCGGATTAAAACTAGTTTAGAACCGGTGTCGGTACAGGATCTGCTCGGGGTCCTTCGACTGCCGATGACATCAAAGTAGTTGATTGGCTGAACATGAAGCTTATGGAAGTTACGTTATCACGTTATGATTTTGATTGGTCAGAACAAATTTGCGGTCGTATTCTTAGCGGTTGGAGTCCTGTAGTCCAAAAATCAACACTTTTTGGAGAAAATATGTTTGAATTTCTAAAGGAAATGTAAAATTTAAGCAAATGATAAACGGTGACCCTCAAAAGCTCTTAATGTTGATGACATGGGGCAAAATAAAATATAAGAACTTTATTGAAAGACACCAAGCAATATTTTGAGTCGAAGAATGTATTTAGATAACAACTAGGGAAATATACAGACGAACTCCACATTAACACAAACAGACATGGCTTCACATATAAGAACTGTTTTATTTTCTGTCAGTCCGATGTTGGTTTTATGCAGTTTTACATTCTTTACAAAACAAAGATAATGTGGTGTTTTCTTAACAAATTACAATATAAAGAAAACATTTAGGTGTTAACAAACAAGAATGTATTAACAAAACTGCTGATGTCTTTCCAAAACGTATGTGTGAAAGCCGATTCTGCTCGGGTGCAGGATCGGCTCACGGTCCTTCGACTGCCGATGAGGTCACATTACTGCAAATCTAATCTATACCGACACCGGAACGGTTACAAAAACATCAACTTACAAGTTTTACTTTATACCTACAGAAGAGGGTTAGTGCTAGCCTAGTGAACTAGACCAAATTCTTGCTTTGCAAAGTTTGGTCTAGGCACGCTCCATTGGAACCTCCACAGTTCCTACCAGGACTCTGGCTAGCCAATCACTGCTCTCTAGAGGGGTTTCAAACACATAAAGAGCTGTGATTGGTCCATAATGGTGGGCCAATCATAGTGCTCTATCTGCTTAGTGAACAAATCACAGAGCTTTATCCGCTTTGTGGGCCAATCAGGACCCTCTATATGCCTGGTGGGTGGGATGATGCAACAGAGTGAAACAAGAGTATGTCACATTCATTGTCCAGTGGAATGCGGAGATCATTTGAAAGACAACGGTAGAACCCGCCCCACAACAGAGAGCCGTCAATGGAGCGTGGCCAGACTAAATAATACATTTATTTAGTCTGGCTTGCCAGGCTAGATTAGTGCCACTTCTCAGAATAACATGAGAATTCTTAGAAAAAGTCAGGAGGTGGACTTTTTCGGAGATTAAAGTCAGAAATATTTTTTGTTCCTCTTTCACAAATATCTAGAGTTTTGTTATCAAAACCAACAGTTTGTTTCTAATAGTTAGTTTTAAAGTTAGGAGGACAAACGATTTGCAAATAGAGTATGGGATGATGATGTTTGTGGAAAGTAATGTAGAGACCCAAATAGATATAACGATATTTGCACGCATGTTCAATACAATTATACCATGAAAGCCCTGAAAAGCTGCTTAATTCTCCACTTTTTAAATTATATCTATATTTAAAAAGAAGAGTTTGTTTACTTTTTAGTAATTTTCAGCAAAAGGAATCATTTGGGAATGTTCAAAGAGCCACAGGTTGCTGACTCCTGCCTTCCTCACACACACTCATACCCTCATTAGGACAATTTATGATACTCCATTCTGTCTAACGATGCTCTTGTGCCTGTTTGTCCTCTGTCTCGCAGCTCTAAGCTGATCTTTAAGAATCCAGATAAAGAAGATATTGGAACATACTCCGTTTCCGTCACCAACACCAGCGGGGTGTCCTCCAGCTACACCATCTCAGCTGAAGGTGCTGACATTCACAAAGTTTCATACAGTAAAGGAACTGAGGGAAGAGAGTCTTCAACCCACACAAATTAAATATGTTCAAAAACTAGATTAAAAATGTAGCGTGTCTATCAGTTTACTTTTGTGGGTTTAATTCTTGTTTTTCTGCCTTGATGATGAAAATGTGTAGAATTGTACAGCGATATTTGGACAAGTACA